TGTATATTTTATATACATATACATATAACCCACCAGCCACTCCTCGGAAGGAAGGTTGGGCAATCTACTTCCGTAGTGATACTGCCTCGGAAACCTAAGGAGGGGTTGCTATGAGTCGGGGGCGACTCGATGGCACACAACAACAACAACAACAACAACATACATATATATATGAAGTTCCTGATTTAAGAATAATTATATGAAATACAAGCCCGTTATGAAGAGAATCCCCTAAACACAACCTTTATCACCTGAAAAGATCTTTAATATCATCTCTAGTTCAATCTCTTCACATTATACATGGTGTGATAGTTAATGTTGTATGTTAGCTAGGCTAGGCCATGGTTCTGAGTGGCTTGGCAGCTAGCTGTAATTATTCCCCATGATGAGACTAATTACCTCCATGGTGGAATGTGCTGAGATCTTAATCAGTGGGAAGGGAGCTTGGAAAAAGTCTCTAGCTTTTGCTCCATCTGGGCCCTGCATTTGGCTGTCTTGGCCTGATGTGTTGCCTCATGATCTTGGGATTGTGCCATTTTACCTGTCAACCTTTGGCTTCCCAGCCTTAGCTGCCAGTAACTGCGAGAGTTAGAAAACAGCCTGTAGCTCCAGTGGGCCAGAAAGTAGAGGCAGAGCTGAAGCCCAAAGTCCAAGGGCCTTCACCCAGCCCCTAGAGCCAGCACTCTGAATCTGGACTTCTAGCCTCCTATACTTCAAGAGAATAAATTCCTATTTGTTAAATTAAGCCATCTAGTTGTGGCATTTCTATTACAGCAGCACTAGAGAACCAAGGCACTTGGGGACACTAAAGTTCAGTTAAAGAAACTGAAGCCCAGTAGGTTAAGTTTTTTCTCTAAAGCATAAATGGCATAAGCCCAGGTCTGATTCTATTTCAGTGTTCCTTTGTACTATGTCCTATGGTAACATGCCAAGTAGTAAAGACATGGAACATAAAACCTGTTGGTCAAAAGCCTATATTCCAGTCAAACTAGGGGAAGTGGGGAATTCAAGGCTAAAAGTAAATACTCAACAAGAGGTTGAGAAGGAGAATGCAGAGATGAGTTGTCCAGGAATAATAAAATTTTCAGTTTTCTTCAGTCCAGCCTGTCTATGACAAGTTTGTACCACTAGTATAGGTGGCTACTGAAACAGCCTAGAGATTTTTGTATAATGATGCCCAGGTATGCTATGAACCCCATTCAAATATTTTAGATGCTGGCTTTATCCTTTATGTGTGTAAAGAACTGGCACCCTTCATCAAAGTCAACCTTTTTAGTTTTAAAATCTGGTGGCTCTCCTTCAGCCTTGTGCAGTACAATGAATTACTTAATATGGTCCTTGTAACCATTCATGGAGCTATGGGGGCGTAGTGCCTAAGGCATTTGACTGCTAACCAGAAGGCTGTTGGTTCAAACCCACCAGCCACTCCTTGGAGGGAAGGTTGGGCAATCTATGTCTGTAGTGATACTGCCTGGGAAACTTAAGGAGGGGTCTCTAGGAATCGGGTCCAACTCGGTGGCACATAACAACTCTGTAAATGATCAAAGGGTTTGTATTTTTTAAAAATTGGTATTAAAAACTTAAAAAAAAAAAAAGTCACTATAGTCCTATAAAGACAATTCATGAGAAGTTTTTGCTGAGATACCATGCTGCCACAAACTTTCCGGTTTAGGAACTTTCTCTACTTAGGTAATGTTTTCTTCTCCTATACCACCTCCAAATTTACTCTGCTATAATAAAAGAATATTAGTATACATGACTTCACGTTTTACAATTCTGAAATAATAGATTATTTTCCCATTCTAGTCTTTTCAAACTGTTGTTTTGTTGTCCTTGCATCCTAATTATGTCACAACCACCAGTTCAGCTCAATCCATTTGCCCTGTTAAAAAAAACAAAAAAAACAAACTCTACAAGAACGGAAATGGCTGCATCGTAGAGTCTTAGTGATCCATGAACAGACTTCCCTTGAATAAAAATATCCACAACATCATTATCAACTATTCCATTTGCTTCAAGCCCACCCATATAGGTGTTTCACGCCCAGACCTCCTCATGTGCCCTGAAATACTTCCTCTCTCCGGGCATAAAGAAACAAAACAAAACAAAACAAAACAAAATTGAACCCACTACCGTACTCCTCGGAAGGAAGGTTGGGCAATCCTACTTCCGTAGTGATACTGCCTCGGAAACCCAAGGAGGGGGTCGCTATGAGTCGCGTTTGACTCGACGGCACATAACAACAACAACAAAATTCTTTAGGAAATCAGACTGCCACCTCTTTCTCCCACGGAGAGGCTGGTGGGTTCCAATCGCCAACCTGCTGGTTAGCAGTCGAGCGCTTTAAGCACTGCGTCACAAGGGCTCCTTCTTGCTCATCACAGAGGCCCCTAAACCCGAGGTCTAGCTCAGCCATAACTCAGCCTGGGCCAGCATGTATCCCACACTGGCCCTATCACAGCCCTCGCAGCTTGACTTAAGGAGGTCCGGTCCAGGCGCTCTCCTGCACGTCAGGGCACAGCTCTCAGAGCAATCTCAGCGTAATATCACCAGCTTCTACCCAGTGCCTGACATCTACGAGGCACTCAATAAACGCCCGCTGTAAGCTTAGAACTAATGGCACGCTCCCACTCATCCTTCACCTTCGTCTCATCTCCTGATAGTCCCCCATTCTTCCTCTCCTCCTCTGCAGCCCTTATTCTGCCTCCTTCTCCCGCCTTCCTGGCCCCTACCTCGAGAAGGTCACTCTCTGCTCCAGCTTGCTCCAGCCTCCTCAGTTACTCAGGCTGCCAGGCGGGTCTGCAGTCTCCGCTTTCCAGCTGGAGCGACTAAGCCGGGCGGAAACAGAGGTCAAACACAAGAGCCACCAGCCAATCAGGGGCCGGCGGCATAAGCTGATATGACGGCGGATCGCGCGATTTAGCGGCATGCTGCCGCTAGTGGTCACGTGGGCATCGCTCTCTGTCTAACGCCCCCAAGGTCCTCTCTCACAAAAGCGAGGGCGGGAACCGTCAGGTACCGTAGCGCCGGAGGATTGTTTCAGGTTTTGTTTTTTAACTGTCACGGACATAGGCAGAGCTTCTAGTATTTATGTAAACATTTCTAAAAATGATCCTGTACCTTGAGTTGTATTACTGGAAAACTTTATGAATAGCAGACTATACGCACATAAGGGCAAACACCTTGAGGAAAATAGGCTTTTCTTTTGAAGTGAAAATTGGAGGTGTTTCCTACACAAGTGAAGAGCCTAAAGCATATGTCAGATTTGCTAATTTTTCTAAATCTGGAGCCTGCCTTTTTATATGACATCGAATGGCCAGATTCTGGCTCAACCAGTTCATGTAGATGTTTAAATGGTGATGTAATAGGGGAGGACCCCGAGGACTGTCGCTTTTAGGCACGCACAGAATCTAATCCCTGAATACTAGCTGTTTTAGGCAGGTTCTCTAAAGAAGCAAAACTAGTGATGATGAGAGAGACAGACAGAGAGGGAGAGAGAGATCTCAAAGAAATGGCTCAAGCAGTTGTAGTGGCTGGCAAGTCTCGAGTGCATGGGTCAGATGTTAAGCTAGAGGATTCTCCTGACTCAGCTAGCTGCAGGACCTGAGGAACTCAAGAGTGGCAGGCAGTATAGCAGGCAACTGGATTCAGAAGATGACAAATCCAATATCACCAAGTGAAATGGCAGACTGTTAGCTCACAGGCTGTGATGGTAACAATCCCAAGAACAGCAAGCAGTGTGGCAGGCCACTGGTTCAAGTCAAGGAACCAGAGATGATGATGAGCTAGATTCAGGATCAAGATCCAGGAGAAAGCCAGAGAATTTTCTCCAGGTGTCCATATATATTGGAAGCAGGCCACACCCCTGAGGAATCTCCCTTTCTACTGATTGGCTATTCATAGTATCTCTTATCATGGAGGTGATTGTGTTATATCAGAGCTCATCATGGGGCATGACTATATTGTAACTGCTAAATCATTCAGAATCATGGTCCAGTCAAGCTGACACACAATCTTAACTATCACAGTCCACCCCTTGTCCACTTGACATTTGTACCCATCTCCTTAAACTACACATAATCGCTAAATACAGTTATGAAGTCAGACTTGCACCTAACATGATAACTGAAAATTCATTAGCCCCATTTACATCTTCTATTTCAAACTGAAGAAAACAAAAATATTTGGTGCATACACACAAGGAAGAAAAACACATAACAACCATAGTCCTTTTTTCTCCAGCTGGCCATGTGATTGTAGCTGGTATTTAGAACTACCTTCTCCCATCAACATCAACCATTCTATATTCCCCTTGCCTTAAGCAAGCACCTCAGCTGGTTGTGGTTCTTTGCCTGGTAGGATGAACCAAATCTTTACTCCTGAAAGGTCTGGGCCATTAGTAGTCATATCAGAATTAGGTTGCTGTAGTTTAATCACAGAATATGATAGTACTAAGAGACATCTTAAGGAATCTACTGTATTTCAGACATATTCTTCTTTACCTCCATTATGTGATATCAATCTTATTTCCCCTTGGTGATCAGGATCAATAACATTAGACAAATACAGTAACTTCTTTTTTTTGCCTGTTGACCCAGAGATATGAGGAGTCTA